TTGGAACCCCGATCCTTGAAAACCGGTTTGAGATCCTAGCAACAGACTCCAAGCAAGACCCCTCTGTCCACAACCATCACCAGCAGACCGGGCTACTCCTTGCACAAACCATTCCGGATAGCGCAGAGGTGAGCAACACGAACGCCGAGCCCACCAAGAAGCAGAGRCGCCGCCGCCGAGTTCGCCGATCTGTCACCCGCGATTTGCCCGAGCTCATGGGCAAAGAAGAGGTAAGCTCAGCCGAAGCCAAAGCTCCCCTCCTCTCGGTTCCGTCCCCCCTGTCTTCCGAACTCCTAGCAGTCCCAATGCCTAAGGACTTCAAGCTCCCCTCTCTTGACAAGTATAACGGGTCGTTCGACCCGAATGATCATGTAGATGCCTTTCAGTCACAGATGCACCTGGCGCGAGCCAGTGAGTCGTGCATGTGCGTGGCCTTCTCCACTACTTTCAGGGGAGCAGCCCGCACATGGTACTGGAACTTGGCACCTGGGTCGATAAGAAGTTGGGCGCAGTTCGCACAAGCCTTCATGTCCCACTTCGTCACCAGCAAACGGTGCCTGCGAACTGAAGAAAGGCTCCTCAACATAGCACAAAGAGAGGGAGAGTCCATTCGGAGCTATATCAAGCGGTTCAACGACACTTGTATGCAGATACCGCGCTTGGACCCCGCCGTACGCCTTGTAGTAGCCAAGAAGGGCGTGACGCACAAAGAGTTCAAGTGGCACATGGTCGTCAACCAACCCGCGACCATAACCGAGTTTCTGAAACTTGCGGATAAGTTCATAGCCGCCGAAGAGGAGATCAACCAGAAGGGCGAGGGCGCACTCGAAAAAAGAAAGAGAGAAGGAGAGCCTTCCAGTCAAGGGGACAGCCGAAGAAAAAAGGAAACAATTTGGGGGGTAAAGCCGGGTCATCTGTTCCGAGCTCCTGTACCGGACCGAGCTGATTACACCCCACTGAACGCGAAGCGGGCCAAAATCCTGATGGCGATCAAGGACGCCCCGTATGTGAAGTGGCCACCCCGTCTGAGGGGGAATCCCAATGAAAGAAATAAGAGTCTGTATTGCAGTTTTCACAAAGACCACGATCACAGTACTGAGAGTTGTAAAAACCTCCGCGACGAGATAGAGGAGCTCATCCATCGCGGATATTTGAGAAACTTTGTACAAAATAATAATAATAACAATAGTAATAGAACAGGTTGGCAAGGGGAGCACGGTAAAGATGCTCCCGAGTCCAGCAGCAGGCCGGCTGAGCAACCGCAGAGGCAGCCTCCAGAGGAGAGGCCAGTTCGGGGGACCGTCCACATGATAGTGGGAGGTTCGATCATTGTGGGTTGCACTTCAACAGCAGCTTGGACGTCAGTTCGTGAGGCCACCCGGGAAGGGCGGAACCCCTCAAAGTGGCCGAAGACGGGAGACCCAATTTTCTTCACAGAAGACGATGCACGAGGGGTCCACTACCCTCATGATAATGCACTCATAATAAAGCTAAGAATCAACGACTTCGAGGTCAGGCGCATACTCGTGGACTCAAGCAGCTCAGCTGACATCCTTTTCAAAGCTACGTTCGACCAGCTTCAGTTGCAGAGAAGCGACCTGAGGCCTACGGACACCCCTTTAGTGGCTTCAGCGGAGAGGAGGTCCACCCCCTTGGGAAAGTAACAGTACCTGTAGAGATCGGCACATGGCCTTGTGTGGTCAGATTCGAACACAACTTCCTGGTGGTAGCGACCCCCTCCCCCTACAATGCCATAATAGGTCGACCGATCACCCATGTCCTACGGGCGGTGGTCTCCACTTACCACTTGTCTATGAAGTTCTCAACAGACTTTGGTGTGGGAGTAGCGCGGGGCGACCAGATCGAGTCCCGCAAGTGCTACGTTGCCGCCCTGAAGTGGAAAACCAAGGTGGCCGATGACCTCGAACTGGAACGACCCACGGAGCAAGGCGAAGAGTGAGCCGCGCCCACGGAAAAAACAGTCGCAGTCCCGACCTCAATAGCAGACCCAGCTCGAACGCTTTAGATCGGCGCTTCCGTCCAGGAGCCCCTACGATCTGAACTGGTAAGCTTTTTACTTCAAAATTTAGATATTTTTGCATGGTCCGCGGCAGAGATGCCCGATATAGACCCCGAACTCATAACTCACAAGCTGAACATTGATCCTGTAGTTAGGCCCGTTAGACAGAAGAAACGCAATCTAGCCTCAAAACGGTGGAAAGCGGTTGACGAGGAAGTCGAGAAACTCCTCACAGCGGACTTCATAAGAGAAGTCCACTACCCGAGCTGGGTAGCCAACCCCGTCCTAGTAAAGAAGGCCAACGACAA